AATCGCAGGGTTGATCTCAAACCTTGGACGCCATCCAACAAGCAAGTTACTGTGTGAGGAAGGTCAATCTTAAACTTCGAAAATTGGTAGGTCTAGACAATCACATCTGTGCGCGTGTGTCTTTGCTGGGGGCGCTTGGCCACTTTGCGAACCACACCCCCTGCTCGCCATGTAAAGTCTGCAAGACAGGTCACTGTTGGCGAAGCCCCAAGCGGTAAACCACTTTGGACACATCTGCGAAGGAAAGCTGGAGGAATGCCTCTGAGGCAGCAATGCTGCCACCCATCATCTTGCAAACCTGTGCGTTGAGTTTCTCAGATGTGGCGAGGTTGTTGTGCGCCTCCAAGAACTGGGACACCGCCTGGCAGGGCAACAAGCAACTAGCGCGTGACAATGACACAGCAGCGCAGCAGCCCTGATATCTAACAAGAACAAGCCTGGGGATGCGCCCAGAAAGTTGCTTCAAGGTTTGCAAACTTCAGCTCTGTGCTCACATACGCCGGCGAAGCTGCTGGAGCTCGCTTGTAGATACCATGCACCAAGGAGTGGATGCCTTCTGTCGCACGCTCGTGAGTGCGCACACGTGCCAGGGACCCAACCCAGGTCTGAAAGGGGGCTGACAAATCTGCAACGTCTGCCCCATCAACAAATTTTTCAAAATCGTCACAAAGAGGTGGGTCTAGAGTCACATTATCTCCGTCCTCTGGCACTCCCGCATGCTCGCAAACTCCTTTCCAACCAGGGTCCAGGAATCGGCGCGTGACTGGGTGGCTGCGCCGCTTTGCATCTGGAGTCAAGGCGGCAAACTGCAAGGCGCACTGGCGAGCAATCTCACGAGCCAACGCAGCGCACGGGTGGTTAACTCCAAACAGGCGCCATGGCAACGTGTCAAAGTACGCCAGCTTCACCTCCAACTCTAGCTTTAGCCTGGCATGGGCAGCAGAATAGTCTGCCAAGAGCACAGTTGCGTCCTTCTCAGCAAGCCCGGCCATGCTGTAAGCCAGCCGGCATAAGCCTCCGTCACGCGTGCGCGTCACCAAATGTTTGTGAACACCTGCTGCCAACTCAGCAGCTCTGCACCCTTTAAATGGGCAGCCTGTTGGGCATGGATGTGCGGGGTGCCTTGGACATTGCTCTGACCAATGCGACAAACCCTCCGCCACAGACGATACCTCAAGCACAAGGTTGCAATATGACCAGAAAAACTGGCTCGAAATGGCCTGGCTGGCTAGCTTCACATTCACGCTGAAATGTTTGTCAGGGTCTTTGCCAAGAACGTGCTCTCGCTGATTTGGCTCAGAACTCAAGAAGGTATGAAGGTCCCACTTCTTCCGCAGCTCAGTGCTGATTGGATGCAGCTCATGAAGGAAATCCACCACCGCATGCCAACGGAGGCCTTGTGCGAGTGTTCAAAGATTCCACAAAACTCAAACAGCCAGCGAGAAACAGCTGAAACAAAGGCACAAGCTGGCGGGCTAGTGCAGCCTGAGGCGCTCTTCAAACTTGAGCTCCAATCTCTCAGCAGACTCCGGCAGGGCGAGTCTTTGAAAAATACCCACACCAACTTGTCACGTAGCGTGCGTCGTTTGAGAATGCCCTCCAACCCTCTAAGCTGGCACAAGAAATGTTGCATGCCCTTCATCACAGACAAGCAATCTTGTAAAGCATTATCCATGAGGTGCTTCATGCCTGCAATGTAAATACAATTGGGCATGAGCTGGTTGAGGGTTTGTTGGACATCTCGTGGTTGGTGACTGGCTCCGTCGTCTTGGTCATCCCTGCGCGCCGCTGCGGCTGCCACGTCTGGGGGTGGAAGAGGCAAGATCAAATCTGCTGGAGGGGCTGGCAAAGGGGCAGCAGCACAGCCAGCAAGTGAAGCTTCTTCTGCAATGAGCTTTCCTAAATCTAAGGCGGGGGTTGCGTGGACACCCTTTTCTGTCCCCATGTCCGTCACTACAGCAATGACGCTGTGCAGGTAGCGTTTCAGCATCACAGGGTCGCTGCCAACTTCAAGCCGAAGTTGATGAATTAGAGCGCTAATCTTGTGCGGCAACGTGCTGCAGCCTAGACACTTCAAGTCTCACGCCAAGAAAAATGCAGATAGCCTTACATTCGACAAGCTATTTGGGAGGCGCCCACATGCAAAACCACATTGGCACCGCACCCAACCACTGCCTGAAACCTGAAGCCCTGTGTGATTCCAGCCAAGGTGCCTCGGCCCAAAGCGACCGGTGTGAGATATCGCACTTCTGATGGAGCATCTGCAGCGACATCCTGGGCTCAAATGAGATGGCAAGTCTGTAAGTCTCATCAGCTTTTGAGAACACCAAAAAGTTGCAGGCGCCAGGGAGCAAGCTAAACGTGCGGACAAAACTCAGGCTCCTGTCCTGAACCTGCGGATCTGGCAACTTCAGCGCGCTCGCCGTCATCCTCTAGAGAGGGAAAGTTATCCTGCAACAACGCCTGCTGATTCCACCTCTTGAAGGATTCAAGGCAATCTTGAGCTAAAAAGGTGAACTCGTGGGTCATGAACCAATCCTAGCACGCGTGAAACAGAAAAGTGAAAGGAAGCTATTCTGCACCTCTCAGTGACCCGTGCTGATTCTTGCGTAGGGCCCCAGCACGGTTCTGCTCTGAGCTATCAAAACCTGCCACTTGCTAAAACACGCACTACGTGGCAGCGCGCTGGGACACACTGACTGCAGGCTAAGCAACTCAATGTCGAGAACCATTGTTGCCGCTGAACCCATCTTCTGCGCCACGTCCACTGACGAAGTAGGAGAAACGCAACATCAAGTCTAAATCTAGCACGGCCTAGGATGCAGCGCAGCATCATCAACTGACATGGTGCGCAATGTCTAACAGCAGCTGAGGACCTGTCTCAGGGTTGAACCAGATGGGCATCTGCCTGCAATTGGTTGCTGAAGGATAGCCTTGGCCTCCTGGCTGCGACCCAGCAAAGCCGCTGCCAAACTCAAAGCCGCGCGCAGCCTGGGAGGTTGTCCCAAGAACGCACTGATGCAACTCATGCCAAAACTCACTGGCCGCTAGTCCGCTAGCCACCCAAAAGAAATCACCCTTCTGCGATTGAATTGTTTGATCAGCGGCCAGTGTCTTGCAAGGTTCTCTAAGCATCCGTGAAACTTTCAGTCGACTCAACTTACAGCCGTGTCGCTTGCCAGCGTTTCTCATTAATCTCGCCAATTGCAAGGTCTGAAAGAGAGTGCACAAGGAATACGCCCGCCTGCGCAAGACTGTGACTGCATAGAGTCATCGCCTACTTCCACAAAATCGACATGCGATTTCCTGGACACTTGCCTGCAACCTGTTCCAGGATCTGGCGCTACGTTGGACCTAACAATAGTAGACACCAGTGGCTGGGCATCAAGATTGCGAAGATCTCTCTGCAAGTCGTCCAGGGAGGCAACGCTTTCCGCAAATTGCGCTACCTTAGCAAGGTCACGTTGTTGGTGGCGCCGCTGTGTTTCTGCCAAGCAACTCCTGGAGTAAAGTCGCAAACAAGTAAACGGGGCTAACGTTGGGATCGGGTTGCGGGGCACTATTCAACCGAATTGCCTGATGGCCGAACTACCTCACGATCAGGAGGATTATGTGGTTGGGGTCCAGTAAAGAATCACCAAGCGCTTTGGGGATCCTGAAAAGCGGCTGGATTCCCTGCCGCACCTCCAGCACCAAAATAGGGCCTCCAAAATGCAGGAGTCTTCCCCTTCAAATGTTGCAATTGACTGGTTGTGTCCATGGAAACCTACCCAACGCGGGACCCCAAATGGGTCGGTCAAGTTGCTTCAAAAGCTGAGCCATAGTCCAGCACCAGCGGGGCCACATCTCTGAGCTTCTGCGTCACGCGTTGGACTTGCTCGGCGCACGCGGACGCGGAGCCCATGGCATTCTGAGACGGGCAGCGCGTTGGTGGCTGCGAACTGTGGGCTGCGAACCACTGTTTCTTCCTGGCCTTGTTGTGGAGCTCTGGCTCTTGACGTATAGGGCTGTGTCTGGCAGTCACACATTGTTCGTGCGGACTTGACCCACACACAGAAAGCACCCTTTCATAGAGCGCAAGTCAACAACTGCCTGTGTATGCCTTCAAGGTCAGAAAGCTGAGCTCTTTTGGAAGTGACAACCCTTTACTGTAAATCCTTCCGAAAATTAGGTGGTTTCCTTGTGGTTTCCCATCAAAACCGCCCAAGGTGCTCCACTTGCTTGCGTTATTGCAGAAAAAAATCTGCTCCGGCGCATGACCAAAACCAAAAATGCGCAAATGCAGGAGTTGTCACAGGTCACTGCTTTCTTTGTGAAATGGCACCGCTCGCAAGCCCCAATCGCGCCAAAATACAAGAATGCCAGCAGCATCTGGGCGCTCACAACAACGGTTTTTGCTCGTGCAAAAGAGGCGGTTTCATAGTCTAATTATTCCCAAAAACAGTTCAAGCCCTTTCCTCTTGGCGGCCAAGACTCATTCCTGCTTAGATGCCCCCAAACCCGTTTCAGCACGCGCGTCAAGCTGCCTTACCCTTAAGTTTTTTTTGGTGTTGAACCGAATCCCCCACGCAAATTGGCAGTTTCCCTCAGGTCGGTTTCAAGCATCGCCTTCTGGCACCGAAGTGAGTTTCGGGCTGGCAAGTGCAAACGTACGTCAAAAGCACATCTACTCCATGGTTAGGAAACTTTGAACGGAGAAACACTCATATTCCACAAGTTGCAGATGGCGCTCAGGGAAACGCCGATTCTATGAGTCTTGGACAGTGATGCCCCCCTCGGAATCTTGCGAAGTCCCTTGGTTTCTCCCTCCCCCAATTCTCGCAAAGTCCCGTGTTCCTGCCCGCCCACCATTTTTTTCGTGGACCGACCTTTTTTTGTGAGTTTGCTTTTTTCCCGTGGACCGTTTTTCCTCCCCCCCCCCCCCCGTGGACCTGTGTGTTTTGTGTTTTTTTTGCATTTTGGTGAGCTGCTGGTTGCATCAGTTGCCACTGGGACTCGAGGCTCTCAGAGGGATTTCACGGACGCCTTCATCCCCAAGTCTGCAGACACGAAGCTGGTGACCAGCGGGGACCGACGGGAACCAAACCAATTCGCAGCCACGAAGCCCCGGCAAGTTCCGGGAAATGATGGGTTGTTGTTGAAGTTTGTTTGGGGTTTGCTGTTCTTGTTTTTTTGTTTTTGTTTTTTTCTCGGGCACTTCAGCTGTCGCCCGTTTTGTCAGTCTTTGCACTAGAAGTGGAACAATGGTCAGTGGTAGCAGGGGCTCTCAAATGAACCCAACGGCCCCAAAGTACCTGAGCGCCCAGTCAATTGACAGCTTGAGAGCTCGGAAGATGTCTGAAGATTCGTGTTTGGGGTGACTTGGGCAGCATGCGCGTACGTGGCGAACGGGCGTGTTGGCACAAAGGGGTTGAGTTTCCCTGCAGGAGTGATGTTTCAAAGGTGAAACGCATGGGATCCTCGTTGGAGCGCGGTTGTCGTTCTGTGTTTTCTGCGCGGGTTCAGAAAGCAAGGACAGCGCTCTTGAAAGCAACTCGGTCGCCCCAGCCGAATCGATTGTATCTATGTTTTGGCAGCCTTCGCCAAAGCAAAGTGTCTTTTCTTTGGGCAACCACTTAGCAACCCTGCTTGAGGTCCGTTTCCGAAAAACCTGAACACCGTGTGTTGATTTGGTCTTTTGCAGCAACGCGTCGGTTGCCGAAGGGTAATGCAAGTGACAAGGAGGGTGAGACAGTAGGACCGTGCAATCTTTTTCAGAAATCTTGGGTTGGAACCCCTCCCGTAAGAATTCCTTCTAAGAAGACCTTTGCTGAGGGATGGGGTGCGTCCAAATCGCTTGCCCAAAGCCCAAAGAATCGCCAATGGCGAGTGCCAGGCCATTGGCCCCAATGATGATTTTTGGGGGCCAGAAGACGAGAGTTTTGGAGAGGGGGGCCACCTGCCCCTCTCATGAATTTCAATGGGCACATTCTGAACCACGTCCTAAACATGAGCACCTTGGTCTGCGGTTGTCGTGCCTTGCATGGTCCGAAAGATGGCGAAAATGGCTGGTGTCCAGGTCAGTTAACTGGTGCTCGGGGGGCACTAACCATTTAGCTTGTAGCGAGACCGAATGCAAGTTTCCCCCATCTAGCATGTTGAATTGTTGCAGGGTGTCTAAGACCAACCAACACAAGAGGTTGAAGAATAGGTAGAAGCTGAAACAGGACCTTTGAGTTGCCATTTTAACCTTTGACTTTACTTTCGGTGTTGTGATGTTGGCGGGTTGGACATGAAGTCGGACCCCTGATGAACCCCGACCACAGATGTGAGGGCCTTAGAAGGGTTGCCCAAGTTCCACTGAAGGTTATAAGGCTACACGTGTCAAAATACCGGGTTTCTTTGGCTTCCCAACAAATCACACACACACACGCCTAGCCACTCTGTGTCCCATAGGTTGGTGGTTGAGGAACGTGCCCGGGTCCATCTATGTTCCAGCGAGTTTCTGGGCTTGAACCGGGCTCAGCATGTGCTCGCTTTGGTAGGGCCTTACTTGCGGCCTCCGCACCTCCGCTTGGTGCTGTATCAGAGTTTGCCCAGTCTTGGGTTTCGCGGAACTTGTGGATGTTGGGGTGTTTTTCGTGGGCCTTGCGGGTGTTCGGGTGTTTTTTTTGTTTTTTTCCCCTTCGAAGGGAGGTTGCCCACTTCATTTGGTTCGATTTTCTGGGGGGAAGGAACCAGCCAGCGCCATGTTCCTGCAGGAGGCGTCCCCGAAGCAGGACGTGCACCTCACCATGCACCGCATGCCTCCGATGCCGGAGACGAACTCGGCCGCTGCCACCCACGCCGTGCAGATGATGCCGAGCCTCACCGTGCCCTCCGGGATGGGGCTGGAAACCCTAAAACGGGTGAGGGTCAACAAATAGGTAGCCAAATCTGGGGGGCCACTGGTAAATGGAAACATGGACGAAAACCCATTGGTGCATGTTGCTTGCATGTTAGGACTTTAACTTTTTGCCAACTACTGGGTTTTCCCTTAAACCACTAAAAGTTATTCACTTTTAGCCGGGGTTTGCAGCGGTCGCAACCGAGCTCAAACCTGCGGACAGCCGCCCTCTCTCGCTCAGCGCGAGGTGCTGCTGAGCGACGAGCGTGAGCTGTCGCTGGTGGCGATCCAGGATGTGCTGAACGAGATCCACAGCACGCTGGCGCCCTTGGAAGCGCCTCAGCTCTGACCTCTGCCTGCCTCTGACTTCCAGTGGCCCGGGGGGGGGGGCGGTCTGTGGGGATCAACCAGATGACTCTGGTGCCTTATGGATCTAGGTGGTGACGGTTCTTTGGGCTTGAGCTTTTTGGTTGAAACAGGCGGGATGTCCCAGTGGACCCACAAAAAGTTGAACTTTTTGCAGAGGGGTCAACAGCAACGAAGGGTGGTGTTTTTCATGAAACACTTGTTGTTGAGCGGGGGTTGCCTTTAAAATCAACCAGAAACAGGTCAATTTCACCAGAACCTTGAAAGGGCGGTCAAATTCTTGAAGTGACGGGGGTCCATTTTGGGAGGGGCCATCTGACATGGGCGAGATGCACAAAGCCCCTTGAACTCATTGTGTCCCCACCTTTGGGTCAAATGGATGTGTGCTTTCCTTTGGTTTGGCGTGGGAACCTGTTTGGGGTCAGATAGGCCGGCTCAGGTAGACATGGGCCGCCAAACGAAAGAGGAAAGGCGTGTAGTTTTTCCTTGGGGCCTTGAGCAAAGGAATGGGTGTGCTTTTAGCATAGGGAAATTCCAAAGAATGGATGGCTCTCTGCGGTGTCCCTACCGAACAACCCGAAGGGCAGTCTTGGCAGTGAGGGTTTTGTCCTGTTCCTTCTTGAGGTCAACATGTTAGATGTAACCAGGAGAAGTGCTATTTGTAAGCATGTGCACGTCATTTCTCCAGATGTACTTTTTGACACATGACTGCGCCGTGAAGACCCTGGCCTGCTTTCCACTTGTTTGACCAGAGCCAGCCCCATTCAAGCAAAGTGGCCAAGTTGTTTGGCAGCACATCTTCTCACTGCTGTGCACCCCTCACAGTGGTTTCCTTTTGTTTCCTCACAGACATCTAAAAAGAGAGCTGGTGTGGAGTGTGGAACCCCCCAAAGTTGATGCCACAATAGAGTGCCAACTCGTGAATCGCCTTGCAGCCGGGGACCAAAAAACAGGGGCACGGATGTCTTGTGGAATCAAACCGGCCGATGATGTGTTCCCATGGTTGGTCCATTTGGGTGTGTCACTGTAACCTTTTGATGGATCTGTTTGGTCGTTTCTTGAAGGGAAACCAAAAAGACAACCACCCATTTTGGGGTGTTACATGGTGTACCTCAAAACGACCTGCCAAATGGGCAGATCCGGGCTCAGGAGCTCACCCTGCAGGCCGCAGAGCGCTTGGACGGTCTGAAAATCGACGGCAACGCCTGGAGTTCCCTGGCCGATCGCCTCCGCCCCTCGGCCAGCGGCCGGCAGGTTTGACTTGGAGAACGCTGACTGGGAACCCAGGTAAGGACAACTTCGTGAAATTGTGGTTGGGTCTCCGCAATCGGGCGAAATCCTTTTTGGTTTGGGGGGTGACGACAGGGCGAATCATGATCAACCCGGGCAAGGGCGATGTTTTGGTCCCCACTTTGACAAATGGTGTTGTTTTTGATGAGTGCTGACCCATCAGCGGTTTAAACATTAGTCATTCCTAGTTTCCCGAGAAAGGACAACCTGGGCTGCCTGAATCTCCCGCCTCGGGGATCCCCAAAGAAACCTCAAGCAAGCATGAAGGAACCCTTCAGGAACCCCAAGAAACCCAAAGGAAACCATGACGCATCCTTTAAGGAACCCGAAAATTCAAAAGGAAACTAGGGAACCTCCAACCCTAAGAGCCCTTGAAGTAAGCCCTATGGAAACCTCGAGGAAAGCCTGAAGCGAGTTGAGGCTTCGACCCGCTCGAGGATGGGGATGGCCAAACTTTGGGGTCACGTTCCTAATCTTTCCCCGTCGAAACTTGAAACGGAGCCCGCAACAACTGGTGGGTGGTCACTGGATTGTTCTCTTTTTTGGGAGATTGAAGGCCTCCGTGGCGATGCTTAAAGAGATGCCTTTGGATGTTTCAAGAGTTGCCTTTGGTGACTTCTCATTGGAAATCATGAAAAGTCCGGACACCCGGCCAACAGAACCGATTCAGCAGAACCAAGCCCTAAACCAGCCAACCAAGCCAAGTCCAAACCGAGCCACTGACACCTGCTTGCTGGTGCTCGGCAGGGGATGTGGCAATGAACCCAGGGATTCCCTTTAAAGGAAACATTTCATTTCTCACTCCCTGCATCTCTCGCCACCGACATTTAGGCATCATGCGGCTGTGGCTGTGCTGCTTGAGCCGAATCGTCAAGCGCCTGGGCCACGGCTGCAGCCTCGCGGACCTCTTGGGCGACGCCGTGGCGGCGGAGGATCTCTTGATGACGGCGCCTTGGCCCGGGAAAAACGGGCTCCAGAGAAGCCCTTGCCGGCATAGGGCAAAGTTGGTTTAAAAACAAAACTGGGGACCAAAGTGACTTTTTATTTACTTGAGGGCTTGCTAGATATGAGACAGACAGATAAAGTTGCATTGGCTTTGTACGGCCGGTGGGCCAAGAAGGCCGTGGCTTCAAAGAAAAAACAAGGACGATGTTTAAAGGACGGTTGCAACATGCCTAAGGTGGATACCCAACCCTTTGCCTCTACCTGAGTAAGGTATGGAGTAACCCCATGCTTCCCCCCTGTCCCCCTTTGCGTGGAAAGGGGCAATGAACGAGTCTGGTTGGCAACCTGGGCCAGCCCGGCAAGCACTTCAGGAAGGCAAAATAGACCCAAATCTCTGCCCACCCAATACCCATCCACCCGAAGCAAGAGTGAAAAAGGCCCTGTGAGACCTTTAGGTGGGCTCCACCATCGCAGCTGCTGCTAGGCGCGGCCGGTTTGCCGCGACCTGTTCTGGGCCTCCAATTCGAGAGGGCTAGGCATGAAGGATCATCTGATCTGAAAGTATTCCTTTAGTTCGCCCTCGTGGTTTGGTTTTAGTCATGGACTGATTCGTTTGACCGTTGAGTTCTTCTTTTCGTTTGGGCAAGTGAAAGGGCCTGTGACCTGCGGCACTTGCAATGGGCGGACGTGAATGAGACATGTTCGAGGCAAGCACTTCCGGGTATTTGTTCCGTGCAAAGCACGGAACCCACGGAATCCACAAGACTACAAGACCAATGTGTTGGCAGCTATGGGAGACCCCCAAAAGGCCAAAGCTAGACTTCGCTGACCAACCTGGCCCAGACGCCCTTTCCCGAGCCCAACCACTCTGAGCCTCCGCATTTGTCAAGATCGCCCACAAGTTGCCCAAGAGGCCAGCAATAAAATGTAGGCAGCCCTTGAATCAATAAACCGCCAGTTCAGTTGGTGCGTTGGGAGTGCCCACTTTGATTTGGGATTTTTATTGAACCGCTGCTGGGGGACAAACTCCCGGATTGATCTCTCGAGTCACTCCGTTTGTTGTTTGCCAGCTGCTCAATGCGTTTGCTTTGATTGACTTCTTGACGAGTTTTTGTTTTTGGGGTAGCCTTGGCAACCATGGGATGTTCGCCAAAGGGTTTCATTGCTTTTGCTCACATCCATTCATGTTGTTCTTCTTGTTTGGTGGCAGACGGCTAAGCAGTAACAGCAAAGCCGAACCCAACATTGTCTCCATTGAGCGGAATGCAAAATGAACAAGTTGAGAGATCTGCGTTTACAAAAATCCAACGGGCTTTTGGAGTTCACTGTTAGCTTGCAGGGGAGCAAGGGGCACTTCCCGTGCCCTTTTTGTGGGCACTTGCGGAGGACATGACCTTTTGGTTTTCCTCTTAGTTGTGTTGAGTCATGATCACCCTTTTATTTCTACGTCCCGAAGGGGCCCCGACACCTGCAAGCACAGGGAGCACATGGACATGTGGAGAAATTTGTGGTCTTATGTGGGGCAACAGCGTCAAAGGTTGTGGTGGGAATCTCCCCCTTGCGGGGTTAGTCTTTGGGCTTTAAGCCCTTTCTGCACAGAAGTGGGCTCCATTTCAAGCACTGGGCGGGGGGAGGCTGGACTCGGCCAGGGCGGTGATCGGCGCCACAGCGCCGCGGTTGAGGGAGTGCACCAAGCTGGAGGTTCGGAGGGCGAAGGGAGGGAGGGGATCGAGGGCCGGGATGGCAGATGGGAGGGGGAGGGGGAGGGGGAGGGGTGAGGGGTGAGGGGGGGGTTGGTGTGTAATTCGATGTTTTTAATTAGTTGGGGATGTGTCGAACTGGAGAACCTTTGGTTGATTTGCGGGTTTGCGGATGTTTTAGGTTGGATGCTTCTCGAATTGTTTGGGAGAAGCGGTGTTTTCAAGGACCCAACGACCCAAGAACCCCGAGCCGAAATGCCGAAACTGAGAGTGCTCCATTGCACGGCAATCTGATTTCCAGAAAAGCATGGGCCAGATGCATTTGCTCATGTTTGCTTCAAAGGCCTGCTACCACCTCACCCCTTCTTGCGGGTTTGGTTGACTACAAGTGCCGCTCAATGGCCTCCAGCCTGGCCTCACCAGCCCATGCATGACGTCACACGTGCCCCAGAAGATGGCGCAAGCCCGGCAATTTCACCTTTCAAGGTTGACCAAATGCAAAAGACACGCAACGCAACCAAAAGCAAACCATCACACAAGACAGCATTGTATGTATTTTTGCCCCACGCCCAAGACAACAAAAACCAAAAACACCCTCAGGTTTCTCTTGGCCAAAGCCTCGGTCGAGGTCTCGGTCGCCCACATGTCTCCAGCGCACCCGCCCCCAGGCGCGGCTGCGCTCGGCGCGGGAGGGCCTCTTCTCGGCGCTGACGCGGCGGCGGGTGGGCGCCCAGCGAGACTTGGCGCACGAGGTGGCGGAGGCGCCTCGCGCTTTGGACGCCGGCCGGGGGAGGGGGGGGGTTGGAGGTGCTACTTGGAAGGAGCCGAAACCTGGTGGCTGCTGGGGGGTTGGCTTATTGGTGTTTTCTCCTCGCACCCTTTTGTTTTCACTGGTGGCGGTGAGGGGGGGGGGGGGGGAAGTCCAAGCCAGGGTTTCTCAGGTTTCTGAGAGGGTTTGGTGGGATTCTACTTCACAACGGCGGTTTTGGGGACCCACAAGTCGTATTTTTACAAGTCTCAAATTCGGAGATTGTTTCGAATCAACGAATCCCAAATAAAGCTGAGATTCCTCCAAACATGGCAGGCGTTTGGAAGGACCTTCCTCATGTTTATTTTGTGGGCAATTGCGGAAGGACATCGGGAGGGTGCGTTTTGTCGCTGCAGACATGTAACGAACGCCATTCACAAAAATGGAGGGGATAGGCGGGGAAAGAAAGGTCCCCAATGCGGAAGTTATGGGCAGCCATGGATGCTACCCTCAAGAACCCCCAACCCTTTTGTGTGGCGCAGTCAGGTGGTTAATTCAATCACGTGGGTGTTTTTTTTTCTCAAAATGAAGGACCCCTTCAAGGGGGTTGTGTCATTTGTGTGTCCTTTTTGCCATCTCAAAAGCGACACGCCCATTTTGAGAAACACCCATGCGCCCATGGGCCTACTGGAAACTCAAATGGATTGGCACTTCAACGGCCGAAGGGCTTGGCTCGCAGCCGGGCGGTAGCCCGGTAGCCGAAAGGGGCAAAGTTTCAAGTGAGAACACTTAAAGCAAAGAAGACAGTGGGGGAAGAGGGCAACTGGCTGAGAGAAGGGGAAGCTAAGTGAAGGTCAGTGATCACTCAATGTGTATGTCTAGCTCCTCGGGGCCAGCTATTGACTTGAAGGCGACTACTCAGGGTGCGATTCCCCCATTGGGTGAGGGAGGGTTGGGGAAAGGCTTCGCCACATGAATTGAAGGGACTGCGCCACCCGACTTGATAGTTGACATGGAAAAGACCCCAAAGGGAAACAAATTGACGAAGTCTGCTTGCCCTGCGAGCCCCCCTTGCGCGGTTAAGCCATTGCTGTATGAACCTCAATCTAGGTAGGTTTACTTTAAGGGCAATTCCACTTGGCCACTCGGGTCACCAACAGCAGCTCAACCAAGCCGCTCAACCCTTTGACTCTCAGCCAAAACAGCCTTTTCTTTAGTTTCCTTGCCGTTTTTTGTTTGTTCAGCTCTCCATGACTTCTCAGACGTTCAGCCAAACACCCTCAACCCAACCACCCCCCACCTACCCCCCAACCAACCCCCACCCACCCCCCACCCACCCCCCACCCACCCCCCGCTGACGCCCAGCGGGTTTCCAGGTGCTGGCGCTGAGCGCGGGCCACGCGCTGGTGGCCCTGGTGGGCAACGCCGCGCGGTGCTTGGCCCTCGCGGTGCGCATGGCGCCGGTGGTGGAGACGCCCCATGTGATGCCACGCAGCGCCTCGACGGGCGGAAGTTTCTGAGCAAATGCATACGTTATCATTATCCTGGGCCAGCAAAAAGTAGTATGACCATATGGACGCATCCTTGAGGCTCCGTACTCTTTGTGGGTTTGTGGGTTGGATTGTTGGGAAGCCACCAGGAATCGCTGCCATTGCAACCCATGCAAGAAGGCGCCAGCCTCTCCGCGTCTGGACTACCAGACCTCACCGAGCGCAGCTTGGCGCTGGGGGCCAAGAAGCCGGGATCCCGTTTGAACTGGTGATCTGTGTGGGAACAGCAAGTGCTGGCCCAGGGAGCGAGAAATTTGGGGATGTCTCTGGAGGGCTTCTACTCCGGAGGCTGAAACTTGCAGGTTTGTCAATCTTTGGATGGCAAATGGCATCTACCCAGCAGTAGATTGCGCAAATCAATGACAAAGCCACACCCGATTGAACATCCCCCAAAGTAGATTGATGCCATCGTGTATTTCGTGAAGTTGTGCAAATCGGTTACTAGATGCCTTTTGCCTTGCAAATTGAGGGGTTCCTCGTTCGCGAAAACGAGCTCCAAGAGGCCCCTAGTCCTGGGGGGCTGTCCGGCATGTCGCTTGGAGACGTGTTGCCCTGCTTTGAAATTTCTTCAAGCTCGCCCTTCGGCAACTTAAGGTTGGCGACCTTCCTGACCTAATTATTCACGACTTGTTGCTCATTTCCCTGAGGCGCACCAATGCTTTCTCCTGGGGCTCAAATCAAGCTTTGGTTTGCTGTGGGGTTGGGAATGGCTGAGAAGTAGGCTTTTGTGCACCCTTGATAGTTGCATGAGGTGTTTTTGAAGAAACGATACCAGCGGATTGTGAAAGAGTAGGTTTGGCTTGCCAGTGGCCACAGAGCAAAGGCATAGGGATGGCTCATTTCTGTTCACCGGCTATTATGCGTCGATCGCTGCCCAGGGAACTCAGCGATTGCGATTTCGTTGCCATGCCCAAAGCGGCTCAGGACTGAAGCAACAAGGTCAGTACGACAAATACATCAAATGGCGAGAAGGCTGGACCACCTGAACCTTTTTTAAGTGATTGTGTTCGCGTTTCCCTATCTTCATTTGTGTTTGCCAATGTTTGTTGTGGCTGTGGCTGTGTTGTGGCCTTTGATCACGATTGTTTTGGCCAGTGCTTGTCTCGTTTGGTTCGCTTGTGGTCTCTTTTGAACGTTCCTTGGGTCTCTGCTTGCGTGTCCAGTGATGTGTTGTAGATGTCCTATGCGTGCATGAGCAGGCGCGAACGCGAGTGCGTGTCCGCGATTGCACGTGCGTGTGCTGTGCGTTGCGCGCGCTTGCGTGGTGGATGTTTTTGTCTATGTGCTATTGCGTGTGTGCGCATATGCGAGAATATTTTTGGAATAGTGCGAGTGTGTGCAAGTGTGTGTGTGTGGGTGTGGGTTGCATGATGCCATATTTCTCACACTGCCGTCGCTGCAACGTTGCTGCACATGCTTCTCGCCATTGAGGTCCTCGACAAGGTGTGCTTTGCTCCCTAGTGGCCGTGGGCGTCGGCGTAATGATTAGCTTTATGCTTGTCGTTGTCATCGCAGCAGCAGCAGCAGCAGCAGCAGCAGCAGCAGCAGCAGCAGGTGCAATTGTGCTAATTACAGCTGATTAATGTTTCTGTTGCTTTGGTGGTGAGGTTGATGATGATGATGATGATGATGATGATGATGATGATGATAATGGTGGTGGTGGTGATGGTGGTGGTGATGGTGATGGTGATGGTGATGGTGATGGTGATGATGCTGATGGTGATGGTGATGGTGATGATGCTGATGGTGATGATGATGATGATGATGATGATGGTGATGGTGATGGTGATGGTGATGGTGATGGTGATGATGATGATGATGATGGTGGTGATGATGATGCCGGCCCAACATGCACGCGCCAATCGCATGAGCAAGACGAATTTTCTTACGTGTGTCACTTGCGCAAGACCGCACACTCGTACAGAAACAGGCCCAACAGGCGAGAGCTGCAGGTGCCAATTCGGCTATGCAGATATCTCGCTGGTTGCCACTCACAAACTGAGGTCTGGCTTTTCCTTATTCCGTGCCAACATCCCTGGGAGATCCTGGAGCGCGCTTGCATCAAAGTAGACAGCAGCGCGCGATCCACACAGCTCACATGCGTAGAGTCAACATGCGAACAGGTACAACAACCACTACACGAATTCCACAACACCAAGAACAGCAAGAAGAATTCCAAGAAACAAGCAAGAAACATTGGAGCAGTGTAGGCCGGGCTTTCGCAGGAAAAAGAGATGCCCAGCGTCAGTTGTGGCATAATCTTCGCATGCGCTGCACAGATCTGACAGATGGGCTCCGTGCCCAAAAGTATGCCTTGCACGTTCCATCGATTCCCGGCTTCCGCGCAGGCTACATGAAATGGCGGTCTGGAGGGATCGCTGGATCGAAGGGTGAGGTAGTGGAGGGTACCACAACGTGAGACGCAGGCGAAAAAGGCAAGCCTGTCACTGCGTCACCGGACACTCGAGCGAACCCCTTGTAAGATGTGGAAAGTTCAACCAAAACTTGGGAAGAGCATGAGGTTGAAGCGTCGCATTTGAAGGTAGATATGCCTTTCTCGTTTGCTGGGCACTTGGTTTATTTCGACAAGAAGGGCAACCGTTGTTGGAGCCCTGCTTTCAGGAGTCCAACCTAAAGCCGAAGCAACACGTGTGAGATATATCCGCTGAATTATAGACATTAGAGTAGTTTGAGATACATTTTGTGAAGTGTGGCGGGCAAGCCTCAGCATTCCATAAGCGCCACAACATTACACTGCCCAATGTGTTCGGCGCTCCTGGGAACTTTTGCGCTGGACACCCTGCACTGCTGAAATTGCTGAAATTAAACAAGTGTTCTGTTCATATCAAGACTTTACAGTACTATCTAAAAATGGGTATGAAACTCACCAGGGTTCATAGGATAATAAGATTTCAACAGAGGGCTTGGTTGAAACCGTGGATTGACTTCAACACTGGAAAGAGAAAAGAAGCGAAGAGCGACTTTGAGAAGGAACTCTGCAAGCTCATGAACAATAGTGTGTATGGAAACACGATGGAGGACAAAAGAAAGCATATGGATTTTGAACTGGTAGACAATGATGTTAGGTGTGAAAAATGTGTGAATAATCCTACTTTCAAAAATCGATTCATCATAAATGAAAATCTGGTAGGAGTGGAAAAACAAAATCAGTGCTGAAGTTAGACAAACCTATATTTTTTTAGGAATGACCATTCTTGATTTAAGTAAATTACACATGTATTAGTTTTACTATGGTGTGTTGAAAAAGAAATACAACGAAAATATCAAATTGATATATACCGATACTGACAGTTATGTAATTCAAACAATGACTGATGATGTCTACAAAGACTTTGATGAGATTAAGCAACACATGGATTTTAGCGATTATCCTGTTGAACATCCGTGCCATGACACAACAAATAAGAAGGCCTTAGGAATGTTCAAGGATGAATGCTCTTCAAAGATAATTACAAAGTTTATAGCACTTAAACCAAAGTCATACGCTTTCACAATCCACGGCGAGGATGAGGAACACAAGAAATCGAAAGGTGTTGTTAAACATAAGGTTCAAAAGGAATTAACATATCAAATCTATAAGGATTCACTTTATCAAAACAAAAAACACGAAATCACCTACAACTTCATTAGAAGTCGTACTCATCAGGTTTATTCAATGTCTCAAGTCAAACAATCCCTGAGTAATTTTGAAAATAAAAGACATTACTTAGATGCCCTTACTTCTTTACCATATGGCCATTACAAACTACGTTAAAGAATGGATAACTAAGGTTGTCAAATGAAGATAATTAAAATATTATTATCTAAATATTTCTAAAAGTATGAAATTATTAGAATTATTTAGTGGAACTCAGAAATCCCGAAACCCGGGATTCGGGATTTCAAATCCCGAGATTTGGGATTTCAAATCCCGAGATTTGGGATTTTCAAACCCCGAGATTTGTGATTTCAAACCCTTGTGGTTGAAGGGTTGAAATCCTCAAAATTGGGATTTGTAATGACAAAGGGGTTTACTCTGGTATAGTATCAGAAACATCTTAAGCAGTTCTTGGAACAACATAGGAGACTGGAACCACTGAAAACAGGTTTAATCATATTATCTATAGCTATAATATGATTATACAATTTGTAAACTTATATGTTATAATTATAGCGAACTGTTAACCTATAAAGACCCCTGAATTAGTTTTGACCTAGAAACACTTTTAAAGACTTGGGAACACTATATATTATTGATATGGAAAAGCCTGAAGCGAAGCAATGCTCAAGATGTCTAAAAACAAAAGAACAAATACATTTTCATAAAGATAGAAAACAATGTAATGATTGTATCAGACAAAGACACACATATTATTACAACAATACAGACAAACGCGCTGAATGGGATAAAAAAACACTATGAAAAGAATAAAGAACACAAGCAAGAATACAGAAAATAATACAACATTGACTGTCAATACTGTAGATGTATGGTCTCACTTATTCAGAAAGCAAAACACGAAAGAACAAACAAACACATCAACAATGTTAAGAATCCAAAGCCCTGAAGAAACAACAAAAGAATACAAATAGCAAACAACACAGAGGGCTCCTATACAGACCGGACCGTCGGTCGAATGCAATTGGTGTGGAAACAGAGTTCCCGCAAATGGTTATGAAACTCCATCATACCAAGCAGGAGGGACTTCGGAAGGAGCTCATCCGGAGCCTGTTCGTGGACAACTCGCGCCTCATGCAGCAAGTGTGCTCATGAAACTATTATATGGTGCAAGAATAGCACGCCTTGACTTGCTCCGGCAAGTCAACCGTGTGGCGAGGAACATCGCCAGGTGGACAACTGACGACGATAAGAAACTTCATCACTTGATGTGTTACATTCATCACACCAAGCGCTGGAGGATGATCGCCTGGGTTGGAGATTCAGTCGAAGACATGTATTTGGCAGTTTATGCTGATGCTGACTTTTCTGGATGCGCCGATTCTTTGCGGTCGACATCTGGCGGTCACATGAACCTACAGGGTCCCAATACAAGATTTCCGTTGTCCGGAAGCTCTAAGTGAGGCTGAAATCGTCGCTGCCGATGTCGCAATGAGAGCTATGGGCATGCCCGCGCTCAGATTGATGGAGCGTGTTTTGGGGAAAGAGCCGAAGTTTGTCATCGAAGAGGGCCGGGGCTACATGTACCTAGCCTATGAGGTCACCGGCCGTATGGCTGCTGACATCTGTACCAAAGCTTTCAGTGATTCCAGAAAGTGGAAACATGCATGTATGCAGATTGGATTGCTCGAGCCGGAAATGTTGACTGACCCGGAAACCCTCAAGATGGTCACATCTTCTTTTGACCCCAAGAAGGGAACCGTGCAGGCGGCCACTGGTTCGATCGATGGCATACCCACTTTTCCGCACACGAAGGTGCCGATCATGCCTCCCGACCTTTGGTGGCAAGGATTATCCTCAAAGGAAGGACTTCATGAACACGAAGGGCATGATCCGGTCGTCGTGGCAAAGGTTCCGAAACTCATGCGGTACCAGCCACCGCCCACAGTGCAAATTCCTATTGGCACAAGGTGGTTGCGTTCCACTTGGTTTCTGTGCGGTGGATCATGGGAAGGTTGAAGATCGAGTTGAACCCGCGTTACAATGGGAGCGCATCGACAAGTACGTCGAGCGTGCGGTATGGCAGTTTCATCCGGTACAGCCTGCTGCGCCGGCCCCCAAGGTTATTCAGCCCAACTTTTCGGACGGGACGATTCTTCTCAACTGTTCAGGGCTCCGGATACTCGGTATCATGGTGCAGCGACTTCGTGAAGGCAATCATGAACTTTCTCTCCCAACAGGAATGTTTGATGAAGTGGAATGATTTCTGTGGAAAAGGGAGAAGGTTGACGCAGACGCTCGCCCGAGATCGTGAAGGTCATCATCAACATTTGGGAGTTGATGACAGCGCTCACGAAGGACATCGACGGGCAACCTGGTTCCAAAGTTGTCCGCGAGGACCAGACCGTTGGCGATGTCTACCGATACTTCCATGGCGCCATGGACCGGCACGAACGCATGCGGAGAACGCGTCAATGACGCTCTGGATTCGGGATGCATGCTGGGTTCAGACCTATTGTACTCCAAAAGCGAGGGTATGCACCGTGGTCAATGGCGTCCTGGACAAGGATGAAGTCCGAAGGAACCATGAATGTCGTGCAGAAACACCAAGAATTGTCCGCCAAGTACGTGGCATTTGCTGCCAGACGCGAACCCCGATGCACGACCAAGAACATCTTGGAGCTGACGATCGCTGGGAAGATCAAACAGATTCCCATTATCCCCGATGCCTTGATTGCTGCGTCTATTGCTATGGGATGTGTCCTATTCCCACATGCAAGACTCAGAGAGATCTTCGGGGGAATCGTGAGAGAATCGGGTACGTTGGTGGCGACAAGACCATCGTCAGGGAAATTGAAGCACAGCTCAACAACCTCAACAAGGCATTCCCTGTCATGGCAAAAGCGTGGGAGTCGAAGCTCCCGGCCATCAACATGTACGCCATATCTGTTGCACTGCGTGGCGAAGATCGCGCAAAGGAAGCCGCGAATCGCCTACTGTGGGAATCATTCATCGTGCTTCAGGACAACCAAACCACAGATGAACAGCAACAGCGGGCCTTCACCAACAATTTGCTGTACTCCAAGGGTGACACCAGGAAGTTCATCGATATCTTCGACAAGAACTTCGGCGAAGAGGGGACACCAGCATGGTGGAGGATCTCAGGGAAGGCACACGTTGCCCCAGAGCCCAAGGCGATGCCGAAGCCTAGCGCCGGAAGTGAGCAGCCTGGTGTTCCACCAAGCGCGAGCTCCAGAGGCGACACCACTGGTCGTGCGCCGTGGTGGGGTTCATATCAGCCGACTGGGAAAACGCGTGATGATGGATCAGTAGTCAACCAGACCATCCAAGCGATCCTGGAGATTTCTGCAAGAGGGGAAGACGACCGATGGGTCATGCCGGAGAAGAATGACGTGAATGAATCGATCACCATCATCGAACAGTGCACTGCTTTCGGCAACCTCAACATCGGGGTTAGCTTTGTCTTGCACAGGAAATCCGGCGTCGTCATGCCCACTACAGAGTTTGGACCGGAAGTCAAAGCGGGGAAGAGTGCATCCTATTGGGAGCGGTATTTGCGGCATTTGGTGACAACCGTGCTCATCTTCGACGAGAAGAGAAAAGCTGACCGCATTGTCACCGCCTACCTCAACAAGCCCAACCTCGCCTGGCTCCAACTTTATGCATACATCTGCGCAAAGACAGGAATCTCGAAGATCATCAAGAGGTACAACGATGAGGAGGCTGAACTCACCTGCCAGCGATTGCGCGATGCCGCGACGTCGACCAAGTCCTACGTG